TCTTTTATTAGCATTCCCTTTTCTCTCCTCTCCCCACTCTTCCCTGGGTGGCACATGATGCAGAGGTGGGGCCTCTCCAGCCTGGAAAGTAGAGGGAAATGCTAGTTGATGAGAGCTTGGCTAGGGGGTGCCCCTCATGGCAATCTCAGGTAATGGGGTCAGAGTAGCTTTTCTGTTTCTCCCTTCTTTTGCTTAGAGTAGAGAGAGTTCAGTTCTTGGACCATATTTACAAGGTCTCTCCTCCCTCCCACCTTCTACTGCCCTCACTTGGAGTGTGGTTTGGTGGGGCATGTAACTGGAATCCATCTTTGCAGAAGAGAGTACAATTCTAGAACATGCTGCCATGAGGAGACTAAAGGTAAGGATAGAGAAGTGTTCTTATCAGTACCTTCTTAAAGATTTTTTTTTTTTTTTTTTAAGAGGAAAAGCAATTCCAGGCCTTGCAGCCTGGTCCACCCAAAAAAAATCCTAGGAAGAGTTGGGGCCAGGACAGACCTCTCATTCCCTTACATTCATATTGTTTCTTTGAAGTCATTGGGTTAACTTTCCACTTCCTGGAGGCCCACAACTTAAGCTGGCAAACAGAATGGCTTGTTTTTACCTCTGTGTCTGAGCCTAGGAAGAGGAGGTGATTAGATTTTAAGGCTGAGGAATGAGGCTTACAGAATTTACACCTAGGGTTCCTGTAGGGCCTTTATATCCACCAGCACAGTCAAGGCCTGGGTGGGGTGGGGAGGACTGTTTCAAATTTCAGCTCTAACACTTCCTGTGTGCCAAAGCTACCTCAGCCTCCTTTAAAGAACAAAAACAAAAACAGAAAAAAGCTTTTATTATAGAAATATTCATATATATACAAAAGTAAATATTAGAATAAACTCCCATGTACCCATCACCCAGCTTTAACAATCATCCACATTTGGCTAATCTTGTTTCCTCTATCCACTCACACTCATGTATTGCTCCTTTTTTCAACCCCAACATTTCTTTTAATTAATTTTATTGAGATCACTGTAGATTCTCAATGGAGTTATAAGAAATAACACAGAAAGGTCACTCTCACACTTTCCCTAGTTTTCCTCAATGGTAATTGCTATAGACTGAATGTTTGTATCTCCTCAAAATTTGTTATGTTGAAACCCAATCCACAATGTGTTGGTAACTGGAGGTAGGGCTTTTGCAAGGTGATTAGGTGATTAGTGACATTAAAAAAGAGACCCCAGAGAGCTCCCTTGCCCTCTTCTACCATGTGAAGACAGTGAGAACACAGAAGTCCATAAAACAGGAAAGTTTCTTACCAGACATCAAATCTGCCGGCACCTTGATCTTGGACTTCCCAGCCTCCAGAACTGTGAGAAATAAATTTCTGTTCTTTATAGCCACCAGTCTATGGTACTAACAACATAAACAGACTAAGACAGTAACATCTTGCAAAACTATCTTATACTATCACAACCAGGATATTGACATTTATACAACCCACCAATCTTATTCATATTTTCCAATTTTGAACTCATTTTTTTGTATGTATTAAGTTCTGTACAATGTTATCACTTGTGTAGATTCCTGCATCCATGACAGTAAAGGAAATGAACAGTTAGACAACACCTCAAGATCCTTGGTGTTGCCCTTTTATGACCACAACCTCCTCCCTCCCACCACCCCTTCCACTTAGTCCCTAACAGTTGGCAACTGCTAAATCTGTTTTCCATTTCTAAACATTTTTTACTTCTAAAATGCTATGTAGATGAAACCACACAACATATAATTTTGGGGGGTTGGCTTTTTTTTTCTTTCTCAGTATAACTTGGCAATTCATCGAAGTTGTATCACTAGTTTATCCCTTTCGATTGCTGAGTAGTATTCTATGGTATAGATGTACCATAGTTTTAACTCTTTACCTGTTGAAAGATATTTTGACTATTATGAATAAAGCTACTATGAACATTTGTGTAGAGGTTTTCAAATGCCCAGGGATATGGAATTAGCTACCATATTCTGGTGGCCAGGAGTGCTTTTGAGTCCATCACCGTCTGTAAGGGCTTTTCAGTAGACAGATTAGGATATACTTTTTAATTTAAGCTAAAGTATACCATGAGTTCATACAGATACTTCCCAATTAAATCCAAGACTACAGGGAATTTACTTAACATCCTTGATTTTAAATCGGCAGCTCTTTTCTCCTATAAAATTCCAGTTCTGATATGATCAACATAATTGTGTTTTATCCTACACATTTTCACCTAGTCCCAACAATATGACTACTGAATACAACTTAAGATTTTGTAGTTTTTTTTTTTAAATGGCAGTTAATTTTGTCCTTAGGGGTAGATATTTGGACGTACAGTTAAATCAGTGTGTTTTCAAGTCATTTAGAAGAGTTCCCTTCTGTGTAATTAGGTAACCAATTAGATATACATTTAGGTTCATTTGTTTCATTTTACTTCCAACTTTTAGAAATTTAAAAAAAATGTTATCGCACAATCAGGTAAAACACAGCTTTCCAAAGTCAAATACACAAATTAAAGTACATTCAAAGTCTAGCTTCTTTTCCCTTCATTTAATTCTTTCCTTCTCAAAGAAAGTAACCATTAAAATTGTTAATGAGTTATACTTCCATTAAAAAAAATATAAGTACTTACTTATTTACATTTGTACCTCCCTACTCGCTTTCACAAATGAAGAGGGCACACTTTCTTATTCCTGACTTTAGCAGGAAAAGTGTCTAGTGTTCCACCACTGAGATCCTTGAAAACTTTTTTGTAAAATGAGGGCAAGCTATCCGCTCTATCCGATTTTCCACAGCATTTCTTGGGAAGATAAAGAATGTGGAAACTCGTTCACGAACATGCCTGTTGACTATTAACTCATTTGGGGAGAGCCTCAAGGGCCGTGAACCCAATTTAGTACATTTTACGCAAGAAGAAACACGGAATTGAGAGGACCTTCCCCAAGGCACATATGAAAAGAGCAAGAGCTCGTCTTCTGCTCTGCAGTCCAATGGTCGGATAAATCAATCGCGCCCTTCTTTTTCAAAACTACTCAACAAATATCTATTTTTATAAATATTTTAGGGGACCCTCGAAGAGAAAAGAGTCATAAAAGGCCTCAAGGGTGAGGAAATTAACGCCCGCACAACCACAGTCGCTCAGATTCCCGGGAAGGAGTCCAGAGCTGTGGTGAGGAAGCCCTGCCCTCGCTCAGAATGGGGAGCTCTGGGCCTAGCTCGGAAGCGACGGAAAACCTGGAGATGCTGTGAAGGCACGGAGTAGGGAGGTCCAATGCGGGGAAGCTGGATAGTTAAGTTAACGCTGTCCAACTTGGCGCCCCGACAGGGAGGAACGACTCCAACAGAAGCAAAGCCACGACTCCGCCGGGAGAAAGACGCCATATCGCAGATTTCGAAAGACAAAATTGGTACTGATGAGGACCCGTAGGGATCCCACTGGCTTCAGCTCTAAAACCCCGGCCTAGGGGCGGGGCAGAGATTCTGAGGGCGGAAGCCCTCCGCGGGACACGAGGCAGAGCAACGGAAATGACGATTCAGAGCGCCAACAGGGCGGGGCTAACGGTTTCTGGTAGCGGTGTCTGGGAGGGGCCGGGAAGAGGAGGTGTTAAGCCCGTAGCCCGTGCCCCTTGATTTTTAGCGACCCCGCACCTCTGCAGCTACGCCAAAATGATGGGCTGTGGGCAGTCAGAGCTGATGTCAGTGGAAGGGGAAGAGGCCGTGGCGGCACCAGCGTCGCCCCCAGAACCTCGTGCCCCAGAGCCCGCAGTCCCGGTGCCTGAGCCCGGCCTGGACCTGAGCCTGAGCCCACTGTCCGAAAGCCCTGAGCAGCCGAACTGCAGCCCAGGGCGGCGGAAGGGGCGGGCAGACCGGCGCGGTGGGGCCCGCAAGGGGCGGCAGGTGAGGTGGCGTAAGGCCTGGCCGGCAGCCCGCCGACGACCCTACGCCCACCTCTTCACTGTCCTGCTCTCTGCTCCCAGGTCCGCTTCCGCCTGGCGCCGCCTTCCCCAGTCGGGTCGGAGAGGGTGCCGGCCGTCGCCACACAGAGCGAGAAGCCCGCGGCGCCGCAAGACCTAGTGGCTCCCGCGCAGCAGAGCAGCCTGGCCCTGAGTCTCGAGTTGCAGGCCGCGCGGGCCGTAGCCGCGGGCCAGTTCGATGCCACAAAGGCCGTGGAGGAACAGCTGAGAAAGTCGTTCCAGACCCGCTGTGGCCTGGAGGAGAACGTGGCGGAGGGTGAGGGGTGCAGACGGCCGGCAGGGCGCGGGAGTGGAGGTGAGAGGCTCCGCTCACCTCCGCCCTCCCTGCGGTCTCAGGGCTGAACGTGCCGCGTTCCAAGCGGCTCTTCCGGGACCTGGTGAGTCTGCAGGTGCCGGAGGAACAGGTTCTGAACGCTGCGCTGAGGGAGAAATTGGCGCTCCTGTCGCCGCAGGCCCGAGCCCCTCCCCCAAAGGTGAGGGACCTGGGCTTGAGTCCATTTCCCCCCCGCCCCCCTTATCCCTTGTCCGCCGCGGGTTCTTTCCTCTCCCCGAGTGTAACTTTGCTTTGGGCTCCAAAACCAACAGGAGCCACCTGGGCCAGGGCCAGACATGACGTTTCTGTGTGACCCAGAAACATTATTTTATGAATCTCCACACCTGACCCTGGACGGTCTGCCCCCTCTCCGGCTTCAACTCCGACCCCGCCCTTCAGAGGATACCTTTCTCATGCATCGGACACTGAGGAAATGGGAAGCGTAGACCTGGAGACTCCCTGAATAGCTAGTTCCTATTTTTTACGTGGGTGTGTTAAAACTATCAGAATAAAGTGGTTTTGCTAACAAATGGGACTTTTCTTGGGAGCGTTAAGATGGGGTGAAGCCCCAGGTCGGAAGCTGCTTAGAAGTCAGGTTTTTGGCCTTTTAAGGAACTCAGTAATGAAAAGTAAAAAAGTGTCCAAGTCGAGTTTAGAATACCCTCTCCACATCTCGACTTGTCACAGCTGCCACCTTTGTTTTTGATATCACAGTTGTTCCTTTGCACGACCTATTTCTGATCACTTTAACATGTGGGTCTAAGAAGCTTACTTCAGGGAAGCCTTCATTACCCAGCTCAAGAAATCTGCAAAGCAGCCACTAGCACCCAGTTATTAAATTACCTCCTTGCTTTTACCTTCAAGGGCCTTGCCCTTTTTACACCTGACCCGAGTGCTCAATATTTGAACAAATGTCCAAGGCTCATGGAACACTTGACAAGCCACTGAAGAGCTTCACGTTAAGTTAAACTGCCTATTAGTCTTGTTCCACTGCACAAAAAAGGAGGGTGAGCGGCAGGTAGGCCCTAGAGCAAGGAGGTGGTCTGGTCTAAAGTGCCTTTTTCTAGCTCCACTTCAACTCCACTGTTAACTTCCAAAGTTAGCCTTCTGCCAAAGCTTTCACACACACAAAATTGTTAAAATTTTTTTGGGGGGTTGGGGGGGTTATATATGGGCTCAAGTTTAACATCACAATTTGCATTATACTACCCTTTTTCCTGACTAGAGTTCTCTATACTTGGGTGTAGATCTGACTAGCAATCCAGTCTTCACAACCACTGAAAAACCTTGAGACTACTTTGGGCAGAGAGGAAGCAGAAAATACCAGACATAGGTGTGGGGGCCACTGCCCTAAACAAGTTTATTGTGCTGTTCTTACATTCAAAACCCAATCCCTTCTCCCAATGGGAGACAGCAGAGGGAAGGATTTTCACAGTACCTGCGTGCCTCCTCACCGAGCTCCCCACTCTTAACTCTCAGTCCTTCTATTCATGGTCCACTGAAACGTAGCTAGGGACAAGGGCTGAGGAAAATGGGAATCTTTCCTTAGAAGAACAGGAGGAAGAGGTTAGAGAACTTGATACCCCCTACCTCCCATGCCCTAGGAGAACAGGTCAGCAAACAGTCCATGCCATGCAGCCCAGTGGGCTGGGGGAGAGGAAGACGGTGCTAACTCCAACATAGCTGGGCTTGCTGCTTAGGTGCCTGAGGTGTAGGGAGGACGCTGGGGCAGCAAGTAGGAAAAGCTTTCTTTGCAGATCCAAGAAAGGACACTATTTTTGGAGCCAGAAAGGAAAGACTGTGGGATACTTTCTTCCTCTCCCAGGTCCTTAGGAGCAGCGGGCAGCTTCTTCACTTTCTTTTCAGGGGGCCACTTAGTGGCTGGGGGAACAGGCCTTGTGGAATAGGTATACAGGACGCTGGAAGCCTGAAGGGAGAGAGTGTACAATCAGGAGGGGCTGGCAGGACCTCAAGACTCCACCGGGTCTGTACCCTCTTGACCAGGATCAGCCTCCCTTCCTCCCCCAACAAAATAAGCCAGCCTTACCTTTGGAGGTGTTGTGTGGTGTGGCCACAAGCTCATAGCTGGAGAACCCCACCTCTGGGGATGTCAGGTAGGAACTGAACTGCTCTGGCTTCAGCTGGATTCGATAGTAGTTCTTATAGATTGTTTCCTAGGGACAAGAGCAGGAGACCATTTCAGTTTGCTGCCTTCATTCTTGGCGGAGAATAATGTCCACCCAGGAGGCTTTTTCACCTTGTTCAGGAAGTTCTGTTTCCTTGAGGCACTTCTTGCCTCAACTAAAGGAAGGATATCCCCAATTTCCACTGAAAACCCCAACTCACCGTGAGAGTCTTTCTCTTGCCGTAAGATGACCAAGGTTGGGGTTCCAGGACCAGGATGCCCCCAGGGCGTAGGTGCCGGTAGATACGGCGAAACATGCGCTTTAGTCCCTCATCTCCCCAGTTCAGATGCACCCACTTGGTGAGGCTGAGGCAGAGTACCACATCATACTCAGGTGTTTGAGCCTCCACCAGCTCATCACGATCCAGCACATAGTTACCCTGTAGGCAAAAATTGGGGGTGAGGTCAGTAGAGGCATTAAAAGAACCACTGCTCCCACACAACTCATCCTGCAGCATCACTTCAGCCTTTGGCCACATCATCTGTGATACCTTCAGATTAATTCCCAAATGGTGCCCTCTTTGGGTTTCATTTTCTTGCATGTGATTGGTGGTAAACCAATCGAACGTTAAAAGAGAGCCTGGGTAATTTTAAATTGAGCAAAGTAACCATGAAATCCCCAAAGATGGGGTGAAACTGCAAAGAGAATGCTGGGGTTCCTCCAAGACCGTCCACAAACATTCAGCTGGGTGACTCAACATTATGCAAAGGGTTCTAACCCATACTCGAAAGGGAGATCTGTAGGTCCTTCCCTGTAGTTGGGGCTGGTAAAGATGCAGGATTATTTTCCTTCTTCCATGGAAGTGAAGAGCCCTATCCTGTATAGGGAAATCTTCTAGATAAGCTCCTTACCACTCTCTGGAATGTCCTTTCTTCTAGGCTTAAACCAATACACTGCCAATACTATTCCTGCAGACAGCCTAACTGGAGCATTTTATGGGGAGCGATGTGTGGTCAGGGAACACGCTGAAGACATGTTACCTTCTCTTCCTGCATAGGACTCTGACTCCTCCCCATCCCACTATCTAGCATCAACATGGGAGATGATCTACGGCCAAGTCACTTGGGTTCCTGACCACCGACACTCTTCAACCAACTATAATGGAAACAAGGTCCATTTTTCAAAAGACAAAAACTGTAAATATTAATCAGCCACTATCCTAGTCCTTCCCCACCCCAAGACATTCCAGATCTGACACCCATCCCTTCGTGCACCTTCAGTAGGTTGGAGGACATGTGTCCATCTGGACCAAATTCCCTAGCGAGCATCAGCTGTAGCCCCCAAGGAAAAGGTACACTGGTCTGGATTACTGTCCAGGCTGGGAAGAGGGCAAAAAGAGTCAGATCCCATTTGGGGATTAGTAGTCATGAGAAAGGAGCCCAGGTAGAGCCTCCACCTTTCCAGGTTATAAGAGGGGAGACACCAGCGGAATCATTTGCAGATTCAGACTCTTCTCTTGAAGATCTGGTTCTCTTAGTGACAGCTGCATGCACAAAAACCCCTCTGGCTGATAACCTTCCCCCGTCACATTCCCATTTAATCTCATTTTCATACCTGGCACCTATCCCAAGACCTTCTTACCGTGACGAAGACAACATTGTTGGGGAAGACTGATGTGTCTGCTCCATCCAAGGGCACTTGGGGTGCAGCAATGGGACCCCTGCTGGCTGTCAGTGAGGCTGGGAAGGAGCTCCTCTTTCGGATGGTTGTGGTCCCTTCCTCAATCTCTGCCTCTGGGTCCCCTTCAGAAGTCTGGGGTGGCAGACGCAGCTCCTCAGACAGGTAGTGTCGGATGTTTTGGCGGGCCGAGTGGATGAGCCGGGCATCGATATCCAGGCCCACCATGCGGGATGGACCCCACTTACAGGCAATGCTTAGGGTCAGATGGCCTACATTGCAACCCAGATCTAGGACGTCCCGACCCCGAAACCACTCAGGCTTCAACACCCGAAGGCGCCCATCCTCACAGGAAGGATTGCGGTAGCCATAGTACTTGCAATAATTCCCATACTGGAACTTGCGCTGTTGCTTTTTGAAGCCTGCTGCAGGTAGCGGGTGGAGGTGGTGGCGGCCTACTCCACTCCCTCGGCCCTTTTCCTTGGGACCCTGGCCTCCACCCCGAGCCCCTGCCTCTGACTTGCTAGAAGTCCTGCGACGTTTTCGATGTCGTGAGGAGGAAGACGGGGGTGCAGAGGTAACTGAGGGAGCTGGAGGGGTTGAAAGGGAGCCTGAGGGACCTTGTAGGGCAGATGGAAGGGGAGACACGACCTCATCCCTGCAGTTGATGGCTGTGTTGAGTTCATAGGGCTGGGGGGCATCCCGGTTCTGGCCCCTATGCCGCTGCTGCTGTGGGGTGCCCTCCCCATGGAGTGAGGGAGTGAGAGGGGTTGTGGGCAACACAGAATGGCTATCATTCCCTCCAGTTGCCTGCTGCTGATGGTGCTGCCCCCGGTGTCTATGCCGCTTCCGACCAGTCTTGAGCGGTGAAGCAAGAACTACTTGGGCCTCATCAGTGCAAGTATTGAGACTGAGCGGGTCAGTAATATCTTTGGGGATGAGAATCTCAACTGGATCTCGTCCCTTGGCTGGAAGCGGGGATGACTTAGGGGTCTCTGCATTGAGTGCGCGGCTCACTTCCTCATCCAGGAGACTATTCAGGTTCAGTGGATCAAAGATATTGCCCCCCAGGAGGAAGTTGGAGGGTAACACAGAGTCACAGTCCGAATTAATCCGCCGGCGCCTCTTGAAGGCCGGATGTTTGAAGCCTCCACCACCTCCTCCTACATTGCAGCTATTTCTCCTCTTGCCTCCACCTCCCCCAGGGGGCCGGTGGGGCTGATAGCCATTACGCGGTCGAGGCGGAGGAGGGGGGCCCAGCTCTGTTCCGCCCCCTCCCCGTCGCTCCTCCCCCACGTCCGGGGGAGCGGCTCGCCCGTGGGGATCCGACAAGCGGGCCTCCCCGTGCGCCTGGGGGCCGCCCCCTCGTTGCTGCTGAGACTGGCCGCCCCGAGGGAAGGATGTAGCCCCGGGGCTCTCCTTGCCGGTCCCAGAAGCCAGGACTCCGGCTGTGTGTGCGCGCGGGGCCGGCCCGCGCTGCGTCCCGCCGCGGATCTCCCCGGAGGCGGCCTCTCGGTGCGCTTGCACCGAGGGGCCGCCCCCTCCGCCCCACTCCTCTTTGAGTGGCGGCGGTGGGGCCGGCACCAGAAACGGCTCCTTCTCCGCCGCCATCTCGATCATTTCCTCCCCTTATTCCGTCCCAGTCGAGAGCTATGAGGAGGGGCCAGGGGGCTTAACCCCCCTTCTTAGACCTCGCTCCCTCTCCTCCCCTTTCCCGAGTGCGCGCGCAGCTCTGCTCTTCTCGCCTAGTCTCGCGCTCAAGCGCCTCCTCCAAAGCGCGCCCCACTAGCCCGCGAGACCAAAACAAGATGCCTGCGAGAATCTAATAACTCAAGGAATGAACCGCGCGTGCGCCGACCCCTTCCTTCCTTCCCACTACCGATTCGCCGCGAGCGCGCACTGCTGGAGCGCGTTCCTCTCGCCCCGGAATCACGCATGCGCACTCCGCCACCACCCTGGTCGCGCGCGCATCCGAGTACGAACCAACTTAACGGCTCCGGGAGTTTAAATACAGCCCCCCCACAACCCCCCAAATCCCACCACCCCAAACTGACACCCTACTTTCCTTAGCAGCTACGTTCGTCCCTAGTGATATCCTTTGTCTCTACCGCGCGATCCCACCCACCGTAGGCGGGGGACTTGGAGCTGGTGTGAAAAGGTCTCCTTGACACCCGACCCTTGTTCCTCAGGAATGAGTCTCAGCGGTCTCCGCCCGGCTCTAAACCCAACAACCTCCCTACCCCGCCTCCTTCCTCCCCCTAGTGGGCAGCGCCTGCGCATACCCTTTTGGGCTTGCGCTGGTAGATGCAGCACGTGCTGGAGATGATGTCCCGCCCTCCGTTCTAGGGGCGGGGACTGTTACGTCGCTTCCTCAGGTTTAATACACGTAACGTGCGTCAGCACGATTCGGAGGGGCGTGGCTAAGCAACGGGGTGGCCCTCATGAATTATTCATGACCTGGTTGTCTTCCGACCCCCTCCTTGCCCACCTATTTAGGTTTTCAGAGGGGTTGAAGAGTGAACCTTAAAAGTAGAGGAAGGGAAGGAGCGGAGCATACTGACCGTCTTCCTATGAACTGTTGTCAGTAAAATACTATAGGTCATCTTAACCCCCCCCCCCCCC